CTCTCACCCCTGAGGTTACTGGGCCTTTCCCCACTCCCCTTTCTCTTCCAGATGGTCACTCTGTTACTCAGCCACATTCTCTCTCAGATACCCAGGATAGTTAGCAAGGATTGGTTAGGTCTTAAGAGTGGGATAAAATTGAGCATATTACTTATTAGGGATAAAATATATGTAAAGCATTTTTATTTAGATCTTTAAAAAAATGTTCAAAATGTCATAATGAAACCTAGGTTTCTGGATTTCATAGGAATGAACAGGAAGGCAATACAAGAGATATGATCTCATATGTCACAGACTCTCTAAACCCATTGCATACACCCTGGAATTGCCAAAGAACATAATTCAACAGCATTTTCTCTCATTTTTTCCTGGAGAGAGTCCATATTTGGCATGCAAAAAGATGATTTACAAGGCTTCTGTCTCCTTTTCTTACTGACAAAATAGAACACAGAATAGGGACTGATTTATTTTCACTCAGCTACAAAGGACAAAGCTCTCAAAATCCTATTTTAATTGATTTAGTGGAGACTTACTTTTAAAAAAAAGAAGAAAAGGTACAAAATTAACTTCCTAAATCCTAGTGGGTCTGTGATGCTAGGTGCAGTCGATTTTTAGCTGCTGAGAACACCTATAATTTCTCCCTCTGGAGTTTATTCAGCACCAGCACAGAGTTGTCAAGTGAACAAAATGACTAGGTAAGACTAAGTAGTGAAAAGTTTTGCCATGGAGGCAGGTGCTTAGAAGTTATTTTTTCTGATCCCTGTCAAATGCTTGGGTCTCTCCTTAGATTTCCTATATCATTATCTCATAATAGAACTATGTTTTCTAACAAGGAGACCTCTGTTGACTTGGAGTTATGAAGAACCTGAAATATGGCTAGTCCAAATAAGAATACAACATACACCAACATCAAAGACCTAGTAAATAAAAGAGTTTATATTAATAACATTAATAGTTTTGATATAATGGGCAAAATAAATTACTTAAATTAACGTTACTCGTTTCTTTTGTAGCTACCAAAAAGTGTAAAATTGTGTATGTGGCATGCAATAGATTTCTGCTGGGCAGTGTTGCTTCACAGACTTGCACACATTGATAACTCATTTTCTTAGTCTTTCCCACAGTACGGGTACAAAACCCTAACATGTGAAATTATTAAGAGGTAAAACAAGTGGACATGAGAATTACTGGTTGTGTCTTCAGATGGGGCCTATGTATCTGAGAGATCATTATGCCATTCATGGAAATTTAGAAGCTGGTATGGTGATGAGAAGTCAAGGGGAAGCTGATTCATAGATCATTTAATTTCACATAGTTGTTGGCTGCTTAGGAGCCTGTATCTCCCCGCCTCTCATGGAGACACTCCTTCCCAACTCCAACACCATCTTGACAATGAAAAAAAGTGAGCATTTTTTGTCCACCAAAGGATTTAGCAAGACAAAAAGGTAGCGTTTATTTAGTTTCTATAAAAACAAATTCCTATGTTCCAGGCAGTGACAAAGAAATCCCAGGTAGGGTGCTGTGCTGAGTTTGCATTTATTGAACAAGCAGTGGGACAGACAGCCTTGTGATCAGTACATTTCCTGAGCACAGACCAGGTGGAAACATTGCTGTACTCTCAGATCACAGAGTCTAGGAGGAAAAAGATGGAAAAGACTGAAAATCAGTGAGTCCATTCCCAATGGCTCTGTATTGTTTTCTACAGTAAATAAGGCGAGTTCTGAAGAATTCTTTGTATATACAGATGGTGAAGGTAGAAAATCCAGAATTGAGGTGTATGTTTCCCCTTATGGCTTTCACAAGTCCTCCCATTATTTGTCCTGGAACACAGAGAACACAGGTAGGTTAGATGCTGGAACTTAAGGATATCACAGAAATGTGAGCTGTATAGTTACAGTTTCATTTTAATCAAAGAAATCCACAGATTGCAGCATTCTGACAAGAAGTATAGCAATTTTAAATCACTTTCACATTTTATCTAATTTGATTTAATGAGTATTAATGGAGGAACTAGTATGTACTACCTGCTAAGAAAGCACAAAAATGAACCTGGTTTGTCTCTGCTCTTGATTAATGCAAACCTCATAGCAATAAAAGGTGTAATTACACCATTTTGCTGATGAGAAAATTGAGCTTCAGATATCTGTAACTTGCTAAGATTTTACAGTAGGTCATGACTTGAATCCAAATTTTGTAACACTAATGCTTTCCTATTATAGATTAGGTTATTAAACTATAATCATTTGTGTGCCTTGCCTGACTCATCTATGCACTCATATACTAATTAAATCAATACTCACAACATGAAATCAACATCTACAAAAATTCTGAAAGGGGCCAGGGTCTCAGGAAGTTTCTTTCCACATAACTGCACATTGTTAGCTGGTACCATCTGGGGCATGAGCAAGACTGTTATTGCAACCTCAGACCTTCATTTTAGTGCTTACATCAACTCCATGAGGTTTCCTTTGGTTTGAAATTGGCAAACTATTGCCTTGCTGTGCCTTTGAAAAGTCTTTATCATGAAATTGAGAATAGTCATTCATTTATCTCACAAAATAATACAGGAAGTTCCTTCCAATATAACAAATCTTTCATTGAGAGAGTGTCTTCTCTATAGCCCTTGGTTTTCAGAATCTCCTTACAACTAAGGAATGATCCATACGAAATAAAATTAGATCTACATTTAGATCCAAAAGATCATACTGAATAAATTTAATAAGTGACAAAGTTTCTTCCAGGCCAATTTTCTGTAAAATGGGGAAGTTGATGATCTTTTCTCTAACCAAAGGACTATTCGAGGTTGCCAAAGGAAAATGCACATAAAACTCTCAAGAGCTATATTAATGTTGGTAGTTACTGCATAATAGTTATCATATAATTGAAAGCACTGTGACTTCAATAAAAACAGGGTATTGGTTCCAAGATCCTCAACCTACATTTCCAAGGAAGTTGTGACTAATTGACCTTTTATTCCATTCTTGGTATTCTAGACTCTTTTAGAGAGTCTTGCACTCAGGAATAACATTCAATTTAATTCTTTATAAAATTTAAACAATAGGTTCAGTATATATATCTACAATAGTCAACAGAACTACTCTGAGCCATCATCTATTTATATAGCTGGTACCTAAGATCACCCCACTGAGTCAAACAGAGAGAACTAAAATTTTACCAATGTCCAGGATATCTGTTGTTAGAAAGATTTGTTCCCCTAATGAACATCATAATTCCTGTCATCATTAATGCCGGCTATGCAAGCCCAGTGCAGTGCACAATGGTGTGCCATGAGAGGATCTTGGATGTGCCGTGAAAAATTTTAAAAATAATTAATTAAATTATGTTCAAAAGAAGTTCAAAGCACAGTAAGTATATTCTTTTCTTCACTTTCTTTTTGATCAACACAACTCAAATGTGCCCCAGAATTTTAACTTTAGGTTCAAGTATGCCTGGATATGAAAAAAAGAAAAAGTTGAAAAGTATGGCTCGAGTGGAAAGCAAATGCCTAGAAAGAAAAAACAAACAACAAAAAAGGAGTTGCCTTAGAAAACCCTGCATTCTGAGCTCTGTCAAGATTTGTCATTGTAAAAAAAACCAAAAAAAAAAAAATGTGTCATTGTTGGAAGAAATACATTATATCAGTATAACCCTATGGAAAGTAGCTCATAAAGTGCTTTCATAAAGTTGCTAAGGATAGGAGTCATAAGGAAGTGTGGTCTCAGGTGTAGTGTATGTTACCTCCTTGTCCCGAGATATATGTAACTAGGTGTGTTTTTGAGGACAGACGACGGTATATTCTATCAATAAAAGGGGGAGTAAACCACTAAAAATTTATATGTAATAGAAAACACAATATGTGGACTAGAGTAAAAGTTTAAAACCCCCTTTGTTATAGATTCTTGTAAAGATTTAGAATAAATAAATGACTTTGTCAAGACCACATGAGAAAGAAATCTCTTGATTTCATGCCAGTCCTCAGCCTACTACCTATTCTACCCTGTTAGCATGAAACTGGAAGCACTATTGCTTAGAGTTCTCATTTTTCCAATTTCCCATATCAAGGAAATTGTTGAGGAGTTCTTTGGAATATGGCCTTGTGTAGGGATGTTTGACTAAGATCCCTGAATCTGGACAAATGGTTTCCAATTCCATATTACCAAAGCTTTCTGTGTCAAAGGGATGGAGTAAAGATAGTTGTGAATAATAATAAATCATTTTTACCAAATACAATTTA